TCCTATTTCTGAGTCCAGCTTTCAAAATAACATCTGCACTGAACCTTACTTGTGAACTTTATGACCATAAAATTGAACTCTGATTTTGTAAAGAGACTCTTCTACCTTGTGTAAGTGGCATAATCAAAGCCCTGACAAATAGATAAATCCATAATGGTGCTGCAGAGTTAATCCTTTTGCAAGTTACGCATGATTTCAAAACCACACATGAAGAGAATATGGACATTCTCTCAGTGGATATGAGAAACCCCACCAGTGTAGCTAAAGTAAATTATTACTAACAGCCCATTTACTCCTACCACCAACTGCTAATTCAGCTGAAGACCACAGCTGGAGGTACGAGGGTGAAAAATTCATGTCAGGCATCCTAGTGGAGCTGGGAATCTGGACTCAGATTGTCTGATAAGCAAAATGACAAGTACATACGTGCCGAGAGTATGCAGCATTCCAACAGAATCTAGCACATCCCAGGGCCATCCATATGCTCCACCATATGTCCACGAGGAGAGGGGTCCTGAATCAGTTTCTGGAAAGCGCAGGTCTCCCAGGCTCTTGAGATACCAGCCAGGATCCCAATTTTGCTGTATTAATTGGTGTGTAAGCACCTGTATTCCCTCCAGCAAACTACTGATTTTAGCTCAGAGGGCAAATATGGAACATAACCAACTGTTTGCTGATTCAGAAGCTGGCTCCCACAGGGCAAGTTCTACTAGGGAGGAGAAGGTTGCTCTGGGCTTTGTTTCTTCAGAGCCAATTCAACCTCTGTATATTAACCACAAAGAAGCTGCAGCAACAGAGGTATTACCGTGTAAAACAGCAGTACTGACAAGCACCTAGAAACAGACTGGATTTTAATAGCCCAGCACAGGGGAACACAAGTTTTGGCTCAGTCAGTAGAAGACAGGTTGCTTTATTTTGCCTTCTATTCTGCTCTTCACTTGCATATTTCTGGGGACAAGTAGCTGCACTGTATTTTCACATTTCAGTCCTACCTTATCGCTGTCCACTGTGTTCTGTGATGTCCTGGATGCAATGGAAATGGTGTCAGGTTGACTGCTGCCATCTCCTTGGCTGTCTGCATCATCTACTCCATCTCTGCAAAAGACATAATAGAGAAACAACGATGCTTACTTAACACACCACCTTGGAATGTGCACAACTTTATAGGCGGATTTGAGAAGTGCTGAGTCAGCATGCCAGAACTAGCTTTGTGCTAAAATTACCCCACCGATGCAGCCCATGTTGCTATGTAGCTTGCAATTTAAAATTATATCACCCTCAGCCATAGGGTTGGGATTAGCACATAATCACAACGTTTGTTGCTAGAAACTGGACAGCCATTGCCTGTGTGTTTACAGCATAGAAGACTCTGGTGTTCCGAAATAGCTCTGTAATGAGGGTGTCAGGCAGAAATTTTCCTTCAGTTAGGTTTCTGCCTTAACCAAAACCATTCAGTCCAGGATACATGTGACACTGAAGGAAGGGGTATTTCTCTTGTCTCGCAGGAACCACGTCTTCAGGAATTTAATACTAAGCCATAAAAATGATAGCCAAATAAACATAAAGACAGTGTAGAGCTCTACAAATGTACCTCTAGGAGTTTGCTAACAGAGAGTATTTTCTTCCCTTTTGCTATATAGATACAGTTCTCCTAAATTTTTACTAGTCTTTCAAAATAAACACTTAAATAACACAAAACACATATTTGAGAACAAAGATAAAAACATTAAGATCCCCATTCTGTACTAGAAAATTCTTGTATTGGTGCATGTCCCCCAGGAAGAAACGTTTGGATCTCTGCCTTGCTACAGGTCTCCTGGGTGACCTTGGTTACTCATATTTTGGATGCCTCTGTAATACAGCCTGAAGTAAGAGAGTGATAAAACTTCATGAGGAAATGGAGATGCTCAAATTACAGGTGGCTTTTGAGAACGCCAGCAAGACAGCAAAAGAACAATTAATTTTCTATAATTTCTATTTAATCCAGGATTCAAAGAAGTTGACAAAAAAATTAATATTACTTCACAGGCTGAAATGAGTCTGTATTTGATGATGAAACACAGATTCTCCACTGTATTATTATATTGTCATGACCAGCTGTGATTTTCATTGTCAAACAATTCAAAATGTCAAACGGGAAAAAAAAAAATCTGTTATTACTCAAATGTGAAGAAGTAAATTCTACTTTGGAAAAGAAACCTTGGACTCTGCAGAATTGTTTACTGTTCATTTCTCTCTAATACTTTGGAGTACTAAAATAAAAGACCTTTATATGTATATCATAGAAAAGCTTTCTAGCTACTTTTGCCAAGACAACATATAAAAAGCAAAAATGATGAAAACTGCCTTTGACTGTAGTAAGAAAAAGTAAGTGAATCCAGGAAAAAGCCCACAGGCACTACACTACTGTTGGTCGAGAAAACACTAGTGATTTCACGTTGTATGGAATGACTGAGGTTACCTTCTACTGTTGTTTCGCTGCTTTGCTGGTGTCTTGGGGAGCTGAATTGGCTCTTTCAGAGCTCCTTTCAGATGGATAATCCTTTCTTGAATGACTTCCCGGATATTTTTGATCCACTCCTGTTTTGTTTCAATACTGGATGCCTAAAGTTCCACAAGGCAGAAAGACAGACACTTTAACACATTCCCAGCATGTCACCTCTTATGTAGAAGAATCGTGGTTGGCTGATGAAAATGCATGATTAACTGTTTCTCCTCTCTGCTGTATTGTTTTAGCTGCTGGAGTACCTGGTAAACCCAGAAGAACTGAGGGTGTTTTCACTAGACCTACTTGGCAAGCAACAGCAAAGCAGCTAAGCTCTGGATAAATGTATTTAATGCTGGCAATACAGCACACACTGTGGAGGGGAAATAGGTTATCTGTGCACAGCTGGGATTTCCTCAGACAAAATGACTGTAACATGAATTCTCCGCTAGACACTCACTTGACAGAAACGCCTGTCAGCTCAGGAGGTTTGAAGATTAGGTTGATTGTTGATAAGCCTAGTGGCAAAGGACTAGGAGAACTATACCTCCCAGCCAAACACCCAGAGACGTGCCCTGTGTCAGCGTGCAGCTGCTCAACCCAGGTTGCAAGAGGAGATGCAATTTCAGCCAGACTGTGAACTGCACTGTCTCAATTCATACTGGGGCCTTACAGCTGAATTGCTCCTGATGCAGGCATGACCCCACTGACAGACACAGAAGCCATGCAAATATGAGAAGGGAAGAAACTGACCTTTCATTTAGTGCTTCCAAGGCCTGAACTAGCAGCTCTAAACGCAAAGAAAATAAGCAGAAAAAACTTACTTTCAGCACTGTTTTATTGTCTGAGGATGGTGTTCGTCCAGACCACAAAGCAAATTTACAGGGATCTCCTTCAACGTGTTCAGTCACTCCCAGTTCTGAGGTCTAGTGTGGAGGAAAGATGATGAGAGATTTCATATATACGAAGCCTCATGAGTCTAGAAAACTGCATATTTGTAGGGAGAAGTGTGGAGGCAGGGACGGATAAGGGAGTAAGATCTTGTCTTTGCTTTGCTATACACAGATAAAAGAAACAGAAAACCAGCAGGGGATGGCAGGGAAGTGAATGGCTTGAGTGATCCTCCTTGAATTTCCCACCCACCCTTCACATCTCAGTATCTTAAGCCTCTCCAGACTCACTGTGAGCTTGGCTTCCAGGTGAGCCCCGCAGGGCCCAGAGCCAGCCCTTCCAGGTGGCATGAGTATCCCCAACCCAGCAAGGGGACACGTGAGCCGTCCCCCAAGCTCCATCTCTACCTACAAGAAACACAACATCCAGAATATTTTCTTTGCAGCCACACCTACCAGTAACTTGTTCTTGTAAACATATTTTGTGTGTCCTGAAGAATCTTTGATCTCTTTGCTAAACACCAAAGAGATTTCAAAGAGAAACAAATGCCTCTCACGGCCTTTCCGAATGAGAGACTTGGGATCCCACACTTGGAAGGAATCCTGAAGAATCAGCTCTCCCTGGACGTCCAGGTTCTCATCAAACCCTAAAACCACAAAATACATGGGCTTGTATTTGTTCTTGGAACTAGTAATGCCCAGGAACACCAGAGCAGTAAGGACTTAAAATAAAAGGGCCTTTCTCTTTTTTTTAACTCATATTCTGAAAGGACGTTAATGGATATCCATTGGCCCAGCGAAAATATTTTTCTTTTTTTTTTTTTTTCCTACTGCAAAAATATAATTATTTCACCAGAGGCAAATACATCATATGTGCTAAATGAGACTGCTGCTAAGTATAGTAGTAATTACTTAAAGGTAAACATTACAAAGGCTTCAGTGGCAGTCACTGTACACAGAACTGCAATGCAAGGAATCTTATGCATGTCAACGCAAATTCAGAGAAAAATAACGTGCAGTGGTTGGAAGTGCTCTTCCATACCATGATGCCTTCAAGCATGCTAACCCAACCTTCAAGGGCCTGTGAGTTCACAGCAGTGGCATGGGGGATCTACATCTATGAGAGCGAATCAGCATGATGGCTGAAATGAGCTTTCCAGGAGGAGTTTCTCATCTTCCAGCTGCATGTCAAAAACCTTCACATGGCTAAGGATCACAGCTTTCCCTCCTTGAAAGCTGGAGAGGGACTGTTTACAAGGGTATATGGTGATAAGACAAGGAGCAATGGCTTTAAACTGAAAGAGGATAGATTTAGATTAGATATACAGAAGAAATTTTTTACATTGAGGGTGGTGAGGAACTGGAACAGGTTGCCCAGAGAAGTTGTGGATGCCCCATCCCTGGAAGTGTTCAAGGCCAGGTTGGATGAGGCTTTGAGCAACCTGGTGTAGTGGAGGGTTTCCCTGCCCATGGCAGGGTGGTTGGAACTAGATTATCTTTGAGGTCCCTTCCAACCCAAAGGATTCTGTGATTCTGTAACTGGGAGGCTTGAAGGAAAAGGGAGTCCCTAGCTCAAGGTGTCAGCAGCTTCTGGGTCACACTTCTCTTCAGAGCTGGGGACTGCTTCTCCACCAGCACAGCTGGCTGTTGCTCATGTCAGATAGCCCTGGGAGAGCAGCAAATGGCCCTGGTCCCTGCTCCAAGTATTCAGGAATAATATTTTATTCAGAAGACAACTGTCCGAGTGCTTTTCGACCCTAACGAAGTCATCTCTGCTTCTTTATTATTGCTTGGTGTTGGTCATCTCCTGAGACAGATTATCCGGGCATTATTTTGGAAAATCTTGCTTTTCACCAGATACCACAATTAAAACCATCTTTGTAGTGTTTCTACTTATTCTGGGTCAGTTTGCCCCCCTGCAATTTTAATCACCTGCTCTTAATGTGCTGCTTAGCTACTGGCACCACTTCCTTTTTCTTGCCTGTTTTAGTACTCTTCTTGCTTCCTGGTTCTGACTCAAGCCAAGATGGAAATGATTTTCCCAGGCTAAGAAAATGCCAAGAAAGCACCTCTGTCCAGAATGAAAAAAGCCAATAAAAGACTTAACTTTGGGGCAATAAAAACATTTTTTTCTGTAATTATGTTTTTTTTTTAATAATACTTTTTTTTTTTTAAAAAAAGAACATCTTTGGGGCAATTATACTAACATTTTGAAATACAAGCTGTTTTGACTCAGAAACCCAGAACTTTTCTTTTGAAATGTTGAGACAGTATTTAGAAACATTTTCATCCAATAATCATTACGGCTGTCAGCAGCTAAACCGATACTCTTCCAAGAGGGTTTTTTTTGTTTCATTAAATAAGAATGTTTTAACAAAATATAAATATATATACATCGTATATGTGTACATATGTATACACACACATATAAATACATATATACACACACATAAGAGCTAAACAGAAAACCAAAACTTACTAGCCAGTCCTTATTTTTCCAAGACTTTTAGAGAAATATTAGAAATGAGGCAGAAAGTACCTGAAAATTACGATCAATCAACAGTATTGCTACAGTCAACCTATACTAACTTTCTACACAAGTTACAAGAAGGCTTCATTTATTGGCGGGTCCCTCCCCTGCCCCAGCCACCTGCCCATCTGCTACCTTCCAGCATGCTGACGTGCATTGCGTCATTGGCCTTCTTTGGGACACTGAGCATCACTTCCAGACCATCTTTCAGTTCCCCTTTGCCCTCCTCGCAGCAGGTTAGCAGTTCCTAAGAGGCAATGCAGAACACCTATAAACAAACTGACCGACATGCTGGCTTTATCTCAGATTGGTTTTCTTGGCAAGTAGGACACAAAATTGCAACCACTTCGCTAACAGTGGCAGCAGAAAGCTGAACTGCATCAAACCCAAAAGCTGAACATGCTCACAGATAGTGGGAATCAAATGGGAATGGCTATAAGCAAGACAATGTATTGTCCTCTTGAGTGAGACTCTGCACGTAGCGGGTTTCTGGGGATTTATGCCTGTGCTGCAGTCACCAGTCAGTTCAGCCGTGCCAGCTGAGTTGCAGGACCACTGCCCAATGAGTGCCTGCAGTGCAGGCAGGTCTGGCAGTGTGCTGTGCCCAGGGCAGGGAAGTCCCTTCAGGAAAGAGTCACCTGAGGAGGAGACCAAACGGATGATGACTGAAGGAGTGTTTTAGCCTTCCCATTAGCAGATGGTTTGTGTAGTGCAGGCTTGCTGTCCCACAACACTCTCAAGACTATGGTAAACCTGCGTGTTGTTTCAGTAAACCAGTCAAAAGCACAGATTTGTCAACACATTGAATGTACCCAGTAAGTACCTTCCTAGTACAGCACATCACTCCTTTGGCATATACTCAGGAAGCTTTACAGAGATGCAAGTATCATATCCAGTCTCAGCTTTTCCAAGTCAGAATCTGTATCTTATCTCCCAGATATTTTTTCTTCTCTAGTTTACTAGTTTTGAAGTGAAGAGTGCTGGTTAAGTTAGATCTAAAATTCACCTACTCACAAGATATTGCAAAAACCTGTAATCAATTTACAACAAACCAACAAATATTATTTCACTTCGAAGTCTTTGCTTTGCATATGAAGCTCTTCCCTGTTTGTCAAACACAAGCATGTTAGCTCCCTAACAGCATCTAATGCCAGTGAAAGAGTCTCAGTAAAGAGTCAGTGAAATTTCCTAAAGTTCATTACTGCTGTCACTGAAGCCTTTAATCAAAATATTACACATCACAAACTTAGCAAGAATGAAAGTAAACAGTTCTGTCATCCCTTCAACTTCCCTTTCCCAGTTCTCACTTTTTAGGGTTAAATCCTTTTGGATACAAAAATACCCAATTGAAACAGGTGCTCAGTTTTTACAGTTTGTTTGTTGCCTTTTTTTTTTCTTTTTCTTTTCTTTCTGTGAGTCTTTTCCTTTGAAACACCCAACCTGATTTCACATTTTGTTGCCATGCTCAGGCCTGGGAAACAGGAGTAGCAGCCCAGCAGCAGCTGCTTACAGGTCATGAACAGGTAATGAAGCAGCTCCCTTAAGAATACGTTAACTCATGACAGCTGTGAACTGCTCTGCATGAGCTGATTTGGGCAGCTCACTAAGGTACCTTCAGTAGGAGTTGATATTTTGTGATCCTCTGGACAGGCTTGATTAAATAAGAAGAGATAGAGTTGGCCAGACCGTGTCTTTGCTGAATTTCCTAGAAGACATAAAACCAGCAGTCAGTCATGGAAAACTATTAACCCCCTGCCAGACAGAACCACCCATAACTAATTTTAGCTCTGGATCTCTGCACTTTTTTGTTTAGTTTTAAAACTCTCTTTAAGCTCCCATGCAAATAACTGGTTTCAGAGAGGCCGGCAATAAACTGCAGAGTCCCCCTAAGGCCACTGGCACTGCAGGGGCCCTGTGCAAGTCGAGCTAAGGCTATGTCGAGTCAACTACACAGGCCCCGATTCAAACATGACTTATCTGTCACGTCCACGGGTCTCTCCTAGCTATGAAGGCTTAAACCAGTCTTAACATTCAATTAAAATGGAGTGACATTAAATTGAATTGGATGCGTAGGGTGTAATTTAGCAATCTAAACGTAAGCATCTAGTACCATTTGAGAGCCCTGGGGTAGCTGAAGTATCCACATGGGAGTGACAGGTCTGACACAGTGCTGACAGACCTATGCTGTTCTGCGGTGGCAGCTGGGGGCCAGGAGAGACACCCTCATGATACCTTTCAGAGCACTGAATACTGGTTTGTCACCTGAGTCTCAACCAAAACATCTATGCTAGTCAATGTGATGTGCTCAGGAACTTCTGGAGACATTGCAGATGGGCACCTGGTGAGGTCTGCAAAGGGCCCAGCTGCCTCCCTCCAACTGGTTCCAGTAGGAGTTAGGAGCTCCGGAAAATCCTACAGGACTTTAACGTACATATTTAGCTGTCTAAAAGAGTTCAAACTCATGTCCTACAGGAGCAGATTTTCTGATGAAATAGAACAGGTTGGAATTCCTTCTGTCTCTGCCAGGCCCTGGGCATGCCTCCCCTTGCTCCTGGCCATCAGGAAAGCCTCAGTTCCTAAGGAAGCAGAGGAGGAACAGGATTTATCTCCAGCTACTGGAGGGTAAATTTGAGGCTGTAGAGGGACGAAGTTACAGAAGATGAAAGGGGAAGAGCTGCCAAGAATGGAAATTTTCCTTCTGTATAGAGTCTAATTTTCTGCTGAGTACTATGGAGGTTACCGAGTTTTTCAGCTCCGGTGTTTATCTTTATGCTGGAATGGAAAAATAGCCACTTTTTACACAAAGTGCCAACAGATTCTTTTTTTTTTTTTGTACTAGGCAAATTTGTTTTAGAAAAAAAATATCTCTGATGCCATGAACAAGACTCAAAAGGGAAGTGGCTCTGTGTAGGGTTTAATGGAGTTTGCACAAAGCTGAGTCATGGTTGGCTCCAAACAGGGACAGTGTCTGCAGAGCACATGGCTGGGACTCAATTAGTAACTGCTGGAGCCAGCAAGACTTTGGCCAGGTCTGTGAGCTTCCTGGAGCTGGCCAAGTACACTTGGTTTTGTAGGATTCAAGTAATGAATTTAGTGCTATTCCTCCCCCCCAGCTCTCTGAATAGCAGGGCATGCTCCCCGAAAGATGCCTCCCCTTCAGGTATTCCTTGCTCTGCCAGGATGCTCTGTGCGGAGACGGAGTGAGTTGGTGGAGTGACAGCTGTCCCTGCTGCACAGGAACGAACTAGCACTGCTACATGGCCATCAGACAAACACACTGCTGGAAAGGGACGTTCTCCCTGCAGCTCCTCCCTCTGGTCCTGGAGGTGTCGGCTTAAGATGGCAGCCTGCTGGAGCATGTCTTGGGCTGGCTTTGTAACAACTAAAGAGGTCTGGACTTATTGTGGTTGGAGGTGGAAGTTGGAGAGGTCTGCGGGGTAGAGCACAGTAGCGCAGACATTTCTTGCACACCTCTAAGTAACATGAAGCACGGAGATATGGGAGCTAGCTTTGAAGAAGCTGGCAGGTTTCAGAAGCAAGCTAGTCACAGGGCTCTATGGTCTCTATTTTGCCCTGCTTCTCGTTTAAAGCAAGCTTCGCTCACATTATAGTGCACCATGGGTCACCATTAGACACAACTTTAGGCTGCAAAAGTGTCCCAAGGGTCTGGAAGAAATGAAGGTATCTGACAGGCACCACATGATGGCAGTTGTGTGTTGCAAACCAGATGAGCTGCAGAACAGGATCAATATGTTCCTTTACATGGAATGACAGAATCCCAGACAAACACCAAAAATATCCTCTGTGTAGGGCAGCACAGGACTCAGAGGCCCTTGGATGCACAGTATGGGGACAGGAATACTTAAATACAATTTCATACCATAAGAATTGCCAAATTTACCATGAAACAGTGATAAAATGCCCAGATTTCGTATCAAATATCTAAAGAGATTCACAGATTAAGAGAAGTCATCAATTTGTATACAGTGGTTTGGTAGGAGGACAAACTGTATCTCGAACTGAGTGTACAGACCAACGGCTTGCTGAGCAGACTGATTCAACACTAAAACCCTCCTGAAACATTTAGGTTTTGTAATGCTTGACACAAGTCTTCGGTGAGCAATTTCAGAAAAAAATATTACTAAGGAGAAATTGAGACCCTGGTTGTGCTTCTGCCCATTTCCTAAGGGACGCTCCAGCTCAGTGAAGATGCTATGTAAGAATCATCACCCATGCAGAAGCCCAGTGCTCTGCAATGCTACCGAAGTCAATGAGCTTTACCATGTTCCGCTCTGTAAACGCTGGTCATGCAAATCAACGGTGCCCTGTGGCTTCTTGAATACAACAAACTGATCTTTTTCAGATTTAAAGGAAAAAAATATTCAAACTAGCAGAAGCATATAGATGACTGAACCAAACTCTTTATCCTAAGGACCAAAGCTTGCTTAAATAAGAAACTCTAAAATCAACTCAATCACCTCAATAATATGCTGATTTCCACCAGCTGAAGCTGAGGGCTAACTCATGTTGGTAATCAAAAATATATCTTGCTGGCCTGAAGTATGTGGTATTACTAATATTAGCATTTGTTAAAAATGGTAGGCATTGTTTATCTTTGAAACTACTGAATGAAGAACACAGTTTTCAGTGATGTAGTAATATTCTCAGATAATGAACAAGACAGACACAAGAAATGAAGGAAGCAAATTAACGAGTCTACTGCAGTTATGAAAGAGTAAGCACACTAGTTCCATTCCCTATGCAATTTCCAGCTAATATAACTATGCCAATAACTTCTGAATTTTATATGCAAAGCACGATCTGTAGGGAGGGAAGATCGCAATCTTTATCCTTTATTAGACTTATGCTATAGGATAAACTATTCAAGTTTCACAACTGAGAGTTTATGCATGTTTTTCCACCTGTATCAACTGTTTTAAGAAAAGAAACTGCTTTTCTCTACATATATGGCTTCACTTATGTCCTTAGAACATCCCAACTATGATAGCATCGCTAGTAATTCTCTTCAGAGTTTTAAACAAGATATTTCACTTTCCTTTGCTCCTTCTCCTAATTATCTAACCCTTGCAATGATCCTTGAAGCTGCAAATTTTCCATGGACTTGGAGGGTTCAGATAGATTACTGGGACTGCTTGTTTTCATCTCAAAGGTGGATTTCTATGATGGTTTATGCAATCTGAGGGGTTGTGCACTTGTGATCTTCAAGCAGGCTTCTTACTAAGAGGTGTTATCCTAGATAACTCACTCTCACCATCAGAGTGTTCTGGGAAATTCCAGGTTCTGCCTGGAAGAAAAGAACTAGCCATTTCCTCTGTATTCTTCGGGCCAGACTGTCCCCTGTCCTTTCACTTAACCACTACCACTCCAAGATAAAGATAAGAAGGATCTACAGGTACTTCGAACTACTTTAGTCACTCTGAGTGACTGCTAGGGGATTCTTTGAGGGACATACCCAACTTCTTCTTTTTGCACAGGCATCACTGGGTAGTCCAGCACAATTCCCACCAAGGGAAGGAAAACATCTCCCCTTGCAAAACACCAGATGCTGACACATGAATGTTCAGTATCAAGCAACATCAGGCGGGTTTCCAGCCCATATGCCGAGCTGGAGTGGAAAAACTTAGCAGAGGAAACGCTTCTAAGCTGTGCGAACGCCGCTGCCGGAGCCCGAGGCAGCTCAAAGCCTCCCGGAGCCCCCGGCCGGTACGAACCATCCACAGGCTCACGCGCCACCTCCTGGAAAATCCCTTTCAGTTCAATTCTACTTTTAGACCGTTGGTAACAAGGCGGAAAAAAAAAAAAAAAAAAAAAAAAAAAAAAAAAAAGGTGTTCATCGCTTTTCTGCTGGCTCGTGTGAGATCTTTCAGTGTGAAGTTTAATTGAGAAGCTGCAACCATCGGCACACACCAAACCCAGAGGAGCTGATTCACGTCAGCTGCCAACCGCATCGCACGTTGGATCCTGCTGGTTACATTTGTAAAAAGATTTTCAGCGCTTCGGAAAAGAGGTTTTAGCATCTTTTCAAAAAGGCAACTAATTAAAGCTATAATCTGGCAGAAAAGCACGGCAAAATGGAGGAGGCTCCAAAAATCAGAAGGAAAGCTTAGTCTAAAAGTTCCCAAAACTTTATAAAGACTTTTCTTAGCCTACAAAACTGGGATTGGAGCCTGCAAACCATGTAGCACTTGTAAGGGAAATAATCTAATTGCAGTCAATAGAGTCCTTTACTAACATGATGAAGCAAATGTTTAATAGGGTGGGTAAAATTTGCAGAACAGGAGGACAGGATCTTGTTTTGGACTTAGGGATTTCAGGTCATAAAATATAATGGGATCTGCTTTTCGTTTTACCACTAAACCCAGAAGCAGACAGTACATCTAAACCAGATCTTTAGAAAGGATTGGGTCAGAAGACGCACAAAGGTTCCCATAAGAATGTGTGTCTCCATTAAAAACGACTTGCCACGCTGATGAAGATCACACATCACACCGCAGCCTATCAGTTTTCACAGCATGTGATACCTGCAGTGGGGTGAAAAACCCAAATGCCAAAGCACAAAAGGGAATCCGTGGCTTAGATGTAAAAAAGAGGTGATTCAGCTGCACTATGCGGGCTGAAGGAAAATGGCAATGGCTGCTTACATCAAAGAAAGTCCCCGCATGTTCCAGGATGAGCTGGCTGGAGTCAGGCTTGTTTTTGCAGTAGGTGACATACATCTGAAATTTATCTGCCTGTGAAAACAAACATCAAGGGAAAAGCAAGATAAGCTATTTCTCTGCTGGCACAGTCCTTCATTAAGGCTCACCAGGACAAATACAGGTGATAAAACCCCACCTCTCAAAGCAACCTACGAATTGCAAATTAAGAACAGAAGACTTACACACAGTTCATACCTTACCTGAGCAGTTCTGAGGGAAATGAGGTGCACCGTGTGACAGCTATGGGAGGCCTTCTTTAACAAGTGTCACAGAGGGAAGGCCCAAAACTTTAATCCAGCTATAAAATAATTTCTAGGAGCTCTAATGATGTTACACAGATTGCATCCAAAAGTCTGCAGGTCTCAAAACCCAGTCATGAAGTGTTGGCTCTATCACCTACTCGCAGATAAAGCCAGCGCAGAAACTCTGGGCAAGAGGCTCACCTAGCTTAAACAGGCTCAAGCCAACATTTTTGACTTGAGACTGGCTCAGACTTGTGACGCCTGGCCCAAACTTGCCTTTCCTACCTTGGTTCAGACTTTAACAGCTCAAACTTCATGTTGTGCCAGGAGTGTTCCACATTTCATTACCTAATTTATTTATTTTTAAGAGGAAATTAAAAGCATCTGGGCACTCCTGCCTTAGAACAGTTTCATATTACTGAACTCTGGTCTCAGGGACAGGCAGGCAAACAGAAGAGGAGGATGGCCTCCTTTTATTACTATTTCTTTTTTTATACCAAGTATCTAAATAACAGGATCCTGCAATTGGGCAGGCAGCTTTGTATGCATGTCTGTAACCACACACAGAGCTCTGGACAGGTACTATTGCTGCAAATGATGTGGGAGTATCTTAAAAGTACCGTGAAGATTTTGCACACAATGATCCATCCCTATGTCCATCTTCCATAAATATGTAAACCTCTTCTTCATAAACAATATTTCTGAATCCATTTCATCAATATTTGTCATGTTTTTAAAAATCTATTTGAAATCATCCAAATATGCTTACCTTTTTATAAGTGAATTTTTTCCATGATGACTTTAAAAATACTAATTCCCAGCTTTGAAATATGAATAAAACCATCAGAAAAAACATGAAGACGGCCAACTTGCCTGGTAAATATTTTGAGAAGAGAACAGCTTTCACACAGATAAATTACTGTAGGCAATTCCTGGAGCCTCCTACACCCATGAAGACTCTTAGGATCAAGATTTCAAAGCCCTGTTGGAAATTATCCTGGCATTGGGTAATGGAATGAGAGAGCACAGTAGCTCAGCAATTTGACACTAATTTCTGAAGAAAAATGTTGATAAAATATGTTGTTCTCACCTTTGTAGAGGTCTCATGGCATGACCAAAATTCTCTAAGGAAGGTATATTAAGATTTTGAATGTTTGTCCTCCCAGGGCCCTTCACAAAGAAATGAATGTCACCCCTAAATACAGGTTTGATTTGATGAAGTCCTGTTAAACAGGAACCAGCAGAGGTAAAAGCTGTGCTGGTCAGTGCAGGACAAAGAAAGAGGCTCTGGAAAGCCTTCATGCCACTGCTCAGGAGAAGAGTTAAGGGAGGGAACCTTTCACCCTAGGAGAGGTGAAGGACAAAACAGTTGTAGTTGCAGATTTGCTCCTAACTCACTTATCACTAAGGACATAACCCTTGCACCAACTCCCAGATTGTTTCTGTCTGTGCTGGGGGAATTAATTTGAATAAATAATGAAAAGAAGAAGCCTCATTACCCAGGTGACGAAGCAGTGGCCGACATCCTCAGGCAGTTGTTCGTATTTCTCTAGCTCTTTTAGAAAAATGCTGAAAAAAGAAGACACCGATGTAATTAGTTACAGTCAAATACCCAGGAGAAGCAGAATGACCAATGAGTTAATTGGTGCTAATGATCAATACTTGTATCTTGATTACAAGGCTAATCACGTGTCTTGCCAGTGGAAAAAGTGTGTCCTTGCCAAGGTATGGTTTGGTTTTTGAGCACAGTCGTGCCCAACTCTACTAGAAAGGAAAAGGTAGCAATCCCTAGTAGTGAGTCAGTGTATTCAGGACTGCAAAGCGATATTCAAGAACTAAATTGTGAATCTTCAAAAAGATCTTGTGCAGTGGTTCGGCAGAAGAGTAAAAAGAGAAGCCCAAAGCTGCCAGCTTTCCATCACCAAACTCGGCACACTGGAGAAAAGACAACAATTTAAACAAGTTTGACACTTCATAGGTAAGTAGTAAACTCCCAAAATACAGATTTTGTAATCAACTCGCTCCCAACACCTTGCACCATGAGTGACATCTCTGCTTGCAGACAGAGTCCTGTACAATGCCTGAGTGGAAAGAGGAACGTGAAACAAAAATTGCAGAAAGACAAACAACTGAATGTGCTGTTTCCTCAGCCCTGAATCAGGCTGGGGGGTGCCTTAACATCACCAGTCAAAGGAGAAGATTGTGGAGGACACTGGTGGAGGCAAGGGAGGAATGATTTATTTTAGTGTTGCTAGAAGTTTCCCAACTAGCGTTGCTAGTGGTAAAAGGATTATGCAGAAGCAGCAGGCTGGAGGAGGATGTGTCAGAGAAAGGAGAAACGATAGCTGCAGGTAGCTGAGGTGCATGACTGAGGGTTGAAGGGGTGGTAGGTGGGAAGAAGGGAAAGTCAAAAAGGAGAGTAATCAGATGGCATCAGTCAGGGTTACTAAAAAGAAAATATAGCACCACAAGGAAGTGGGAAGGCAATTCGGTGATCCTAGCATAGTTTTAAATGGAAGAACATTTACCCATAACACAGGGCAATTCTTGTGGGCTGGAAGTCAATTCATCCAGCACTTGAAGGCCTTTTTAATGTAATACGTAGTTCAAATCTACCATCCTGATATGCTTTGAAGCTGATTGCACAAAAGCATGCATATGGCAGCCTCTGCTGGAACATATTTATGTGTATGTGATGACTATATTTATGTGTATGTGATGGCGTGTTTATATTCTTGAAGCATTGAAAGTCTCCCAGAACTTCAACAGGGGAGGGTTTTCTGTTTTGTTTTTCAAACTGCTTTAGTTTTGATGTGTCACTTGAAGATACACTTTGAAATTCAGCCTGAAATTTTGGGATTCAGCACCCCTAAACGTTAAGTTCATAACTGCTATTGCATTCGAAGTACAGCAGGGAAAGAATATGACTTTAACACTTTAATCAGCTGAAGGCAAAGTTTAAACTAAGATGCAATTCATAAAAGAAACAAAAGAATAAATCAAACATTATTTTGCAAATCTGGATCAATTACTTTACACTCCTGTGTGCGTTGTCCTATACATAGATGTATGGGCATACACATGCCTTTGGTTTCCTTAGAAAACATTAACAGAATTGTCAGGAAAACCTACTTGTTATGAAAGTCATATATCTCCTGAATATTGCCAAAGATGATGTGTTCTTTATTAAGGATCCCAGCGGGTATTTCTTCCACTCCACTTGTCATTTCCCAAAGGTAAGTCTGAAAGACACCAGCAATTCTTAGCTTTGTGAATAAATGCAGTGAAAAAGAATAGATGTCCCTGTTTTATTGCCAAAGGCACAGGCTGGCAAGGGAACTATGTACTTTGAGATTAAACAAACAAACTAAAAAAAAAAAATAAATGTTCAAGTGTCACAGAAAGCTCTCAAGAGAAATTCAAAGTGCTGACACTTAGAAGTTGTCTGAGGAAAAAGCAGAAACATGCCAACACCACCTGTCTTTGCTGTCCAACTGATGGTGTCCAAAATCTGCAGGCAGAAACAGTTGAAAGATAAGCTGGATTTGCCACTTCAGTAGCGTTAGACACATAAAAATCTCTTTCAAACCGCAAGATTGTGAAAGCTGATGGATTTCACTGAAATACGCCCTGCTTTTTGCTCTGAATATCACAGTACTCTTCAGAAACACCCTGCTGTAGAGCTAGGCCAGGTATTTGACAGTGCAAATCCAGCTCTTTCTCTAGCGTGATATGATCCAAAGGGATAGATTTGAATTCTTTAAGAAAACACTCCGTGATTTAAAAAAGACTAGAAACCAACAAATTTCAGGTCAACACGCAAATATATTGCTCTTTATTGAGCGCCAGGACATTGCTCTCAGTCTGCAGGGGTGAGCACGGCTTTGTAAAAAAGGCACACTGAAGTGTCCCTGGAGGTACAGCCATTTACAGCCACGCATGGGGAGCACAGGGCACAGTTCTGCCAGTGGGAGACAAGCTCCCTCCACTGCCCACCATGCTCCCACCACCAGCAGGACACAGCTCTGTGGCTAGCCTCCAATGGTTGTACCCTCACACAGACTCTTGTCAAGGTCAGCCTTTGCAGTACAGTGAATGCCACCCCTGCAAAGGATACCATGTCCTTCCTGAAAATACTGGAGACTTCCCGGGCTGTAACTTACCTCTAAACATTCATGTAAATCCCTGACGTAAGCTTTTTCAGTCTGAAGCAGCTCAGCCATAATAAATCTTGAGAAAAAAAAAAAAAGTATTTCAGGTGTTTTGACATTATAGACATTTGTACAATGAACAGAAAACAAAACATCCTTTTCTTGTCTTTATGAATCATTGTACTTCCACTCTAAACCTTCAGCTGCCTCACTTTGCACCTTTCAGGACCATGAATAAAACACTACTTCTTACTTTAGTCCTTTGTAGTATTATTTTCTAAGTATCTTTTATGCATAAAATTCTAATAAGTTTTATTTCTGCAACTGTGAGTTGTGATTTACTATCTACATGACCACATGACCATCTTTAGCAGCCAACTAATTCTCAGATGGTTTTTTTTTTTCCCAGGAGTAAGGACTTGAGATTCACCTACACCACTTGCATCTTCACTAATAGTCAGCGGTAAGTCAACCTGAAACTTGACCTTCAGTGGCAATACAGGGATTTGGAAGACACCACTACTTTGAAGAGGCTCCAACAGTTTGGAATCTGACCAGAGAAAATCCAGACTGCTGGGAAGCCCAGCAACCACATCTGTAGTGCCTGAGGCTGCTCATCTCAAAGTTGAAATGCCCCGTGTTTTGAAAATGTGCCACAGGCAGACCAAGTGTAACCGCTGTTCCCTAAAGTAGAAACAGTTTCTTATCAAGGTTATGCACCGTAGTGACCATTTCAGAGGGCTGAGAAGGATCATACACACAAATACTTTCAAGAATATTCTCACACAAAAATTAAGACAAAATACTGCAAAATTAGACTGTTTCTAGATTTAAGTGCAACAAGCACTCTCCAAGTATTTCCTCTAGTATGAAATATTTCCAGTTCTCTCAGTTTTATGCCCACTGAAATTTGAAACTAAACTTCAAGTGAACTCTTGTGTCACTGAAACCCAGTTAACTCCTCTGGATGTCACTGGAGTTTAGCTAATACCTAGACATATAAAGATGCTTTTCATTTTTTTCCTGTTCCTTTTACTTTTCACATACAGGTAGAAAGAAATCATGACAATGAGTATCTCCATGACATCAGGGTCTAATCAAAGTGTTTGACTCACTCCTTTCCCTTTCCAAAAGTAACTTCTGGTTAAAACCAAAATAAATTCAACCTGTATGTTCTGAAATTCTCTAGCCTACAAGTCACAACTTCTGCCCTACATCTGTAGACTTAGCTTAATAAGCTTCCAGAGCTGGAAGGAGTTATAGGACTGTCAGTTCTGGTCATGCAAATATTATAGAACCACTCTTAGATAATGCGTCATGGCAGACTGCGAGCATTTGGGGACATACTCTTTCTTTCTGGCCGACTTTCTTTTTTCTTCATTGGCTTCATGATTTGCATCCCGCAGCTTCACCTCCCGGTCTGAAAGACTTGCTGGAATGATATCTAGTTCTAGGTCCTTGTTATCCTAGAAAAAGCGACAGTACAGATTTTAAATTCATTGTAATCCTACTGTTGTGTGAAATGCAGCATGGTAATGAGATCAAATGGAAAAAGAAGGGGAAAAAGTAAGATAAAGATATCAATGCCAGAAGAAAGGAAATTCAAAGAGATTTAGAACTACAGTGAGAAGGTGAGAGAGAACTCTTTAAAAAGCAACAACTATGATAGTTATTAGTCTTCACTGTTGTTACTCCTATCTAGCAATAGGTATTGATGACAAACATCTAAATTTCACCTTAGTCATTCACATCTAAATTAGTTGCCTAGTATGAGACTTCATGAAGAGTCTGATAAAATAGGGCACTATGCAGAGACAATCCCCACTTTCAATGGCCTTCTGCCATGGAAATACCTTTCCAAACTGTGGTTAGTAACTCTGCGTAAACCAGAGAACCTACAAGGAACAGTACCCTCACCCTTACGGTGTAAGTGAAGGAATTTATTCCTCTTTCTTTGATACTTAATTTCAAAGGATACTTGACTGGAAGGTTTTTAAGTGTTTCTGCCTCTGGCTCTTCCCATTAATACTGTGGCCAGGGAATAGCAGGAGATTCTAAATTTTATTTCTCTTGTGTTGCTCTATTTCACCTAAAAGAGCTCAGAGATGAGGTCGGGGATCAATTTTTTGCTTAGTTAAAGGATGAGAGAATGGAAACTTACAGTCAAAGCCTGAGTTTGATTCAAAATAATGGTGTGGAAGCAGCATTTATGGCTTATGCTAAAATTAACACAGACTTTTATTCCAATAATGTGTTTCCTGTCCTTTCCAGTAGCTGTATGGTCTCCTGCAGAATGGTGCAAACATTTGCTTAGAAAGTTTTTCTGATCTTCATCTGTCTCCTCCTCAGATCACTGATCTGTCACAAAAAAACTTTTTCTGTTCAGAAACAGTTCTGAGCTTGGCTAGGTAGGTTGGCTAGGTTTTAATGTTTCTAATGGACACACGATAAGCTGCAGCGTTCATTCCATAGCCTCACTTCCCTCTGTGACTTTCAGCTTTCGTATGAAACCCCAGCAGGACACGGACTTACAGTACCTCTGTATTGATTCCAAGGGCTTTTTCCAGTGAGTAGCGGTATTTCCCCATCCTGAGAGAGAAGTCACGGTAGCGTTTGTCAACGGTGGTGACCCATTTCCTAATTTCAGTGGCATGTATATGTCCTTTTTCTACAAAGCTGTCAGCCAGCTGGATGAGGAGCTTCACTTTCTCCTTTGTTTGCTGCCCAAAATATAGTCCTCGGTTACAATGCGTTATTATTTCCTTTGCTTGTAATTCACACAGCAGTCAGAAGCAGCTCACATTTTTTTTTCATACATCATTAAAGAGTGCCTGTACTTCATCTTATACAGAGTCAGATGCTTTAAACCTTGCCCAGCAAAACATGAAAGAAATGACATTTTTATAAGGACACTTATGAAGCTGCAGGAGATAGAAAAAGTCATTTTTGAAACCACACACACACAAACACATAAGGAAAATGTGTTGGAAGTTAGACATGCCTTCTTCCCATAACCAAAACCTTATTTTTTGTGAGCCTTGGAGTAGAAGACAGGATTTAAAAATCACACCTCATAAAATACACCAAGTTACTCTGAATCTATACTGAGATGGTTCTGCAGACCTGTGTAGGCAGGTCATTAATACACCACATATCAGTCCAGGAAGTGAGATTGAGTCACTACTACTCTGTTTCAGAAACAAACAGAATTTAAATCCAAATTCTTGGTCTACTATAAAATCTCCCATCAGTATTTTAGTTCCAGTTAGAACACTACAAACTAAAAGATGCCTGAACTCCAAAACATACACTGAGCCCCCAAACCTTCCAGAGGTCTTTTCTATTCCGCTTGGGCTCTGACTGCCCTTTAGTCACGATGGTTTTCCTTGTTAAGGAACTTTGTGCAAATCTGGCACAAAACAGCTAGTTATAAATTTTAGCTTAGATTCCAAATCTACCCCTGGAACCTGAGTTCCTGGACCCTATGTTCAAGCCAACTCAAAAAAACTGAGATACCAACTGCACAGTCTGTACTCCAGCTGTAACGCACATGTTAATCCTGGAAAGCAAAAGGAGAATCAGTGGGATCCCCGGAGGTACTGGCAAGCTGCTTTTCAGAGATGGGGAGGACTTTCCACTCTGCCTGAAGCAAGACATGCTTTCAAGTACCTGACATTATCAGCAATCTGGCCACAAATGGACAAATGCATGTCAGACCATAAAACATCTAGCAGGTTTCAAACACAAAACTAAATTCAAGAAATTTCACCAGCAAAATAAATTAACAGCAGAATCAGAGGCCAGCTTAACAAATATAACTGAGTACTTAAGCAAAGCTAGGTATGGAGGAGTAAAAATCTGACTTGTCATATTTAAAGGGTGTTTCATTCCCAAAAGCTACTGGTGTTTTGCTTTCCAAACAATTAGTTTGGTCAGAAGGTTATTTGGATCAGGAAGGCTTTCAGTTACAGCTTAATTTGAGAATAACATCAGTCTGGGAGTGACATGCACTTATCAGATTGCATGTGGCAGTGAAAATATTCTAGGTCAGCAGTAGGAAAGTGATTTACTAGAGCCCTAGGGAGCAAGACTAGATCCATCAGCGTAAGGAACAGCCAGTAATGGTCAATAAGAAACAAGGTATAAAACTCAACTCTAGGCTAAGTCAAGAGTGAAATAGTTTGGAAACTTCAGAATGAGTCAGGATTATTCTAATCAAAATTACATTATGAACTGGAACATGATTTCAGGTGGACTGATTATGGGTGGTTACAGGCCAGAGATAATGTTGTATGGGTCCTGTCTGACCAAATTAACTTCCAGCCACTGCTAGTTATCTCCCATTTTCACAAACATGCAAGCTAAAGAAAACAGAAGAGGACAAGAAGAACACAAAGCCTGTGAATCAAACCCATGCAAGCATGGACGGCCTGATGAGGAATTTAAGGATTACAGAAGATCAATTTCAGGACATAGTGAAATGAAGCTACTAAAACCATGGCCTTGCTGCAGACTGACTTTGCAATTTAGATCCTTATCAGCGACTGTTAATACCCCTGTGGATTCACTGTCTGTGAATTACCTATGGTTTGAATTAATTTGAAGCAGATCCAATCACCGTTCCTCCGTAAACCCCTCCAGATTTCTCAGAATTGCTCCATATAAATTAATAGATTCTTGGTAATGCAGCTTTGTATTAAAAATGTTCACCCTGGAGTTTACAAAGCCATTTAAAGTATTTTGTTGGGATCAGTAGATTATTTCTAATGAGATAAACGGTCATCTGTGATCAACCCAGCTGGAATTAATGAATCAAATTGTGGTTTTAATGAGAGAAGAAGCAAATATAGAATCCAAGATGACCTTGGATATGTTCACATCCATTAGTTATACAATTCTTGTATAATTATTTGAGGATGGAACTAGCGTATGTCTCATTCGGTTGCTGTGAACTCTGTATGCAAACAGACTTTCTCTTCCTTCTAATCAGAACTAAAATGCTCCATGACCTGTACAGACCAAGGGGGAGAAAACCTCCTTTCTGTGCCTATGTCTTGTTCAAAATGAAAGATCACAGTTCTCGAAAGACATTTCTCTTTGGGGCTAGGAACATCAGGAGGAAAATACAAAATCAAGAGAATCCTATTAGACAGATTTAAGGCATTGAAACAGGATCATAAACATAGACTAAGGCAGATGCCATAATTAGATTAAAGTCACTGCTTACCTTGGCAGGTACTCTGAATTCCCCATATTCCTTCAGGAGTTCCTGAGTTTCTTCTGCTGATTCCCCTGTGGAGTTGTGAGTAGAGAGGTAATATTCACCTGTTTCTTGGATCCAGTCTAAGGCCTGTGAACGTCGAAAACAACCAAAGGAAAAATAAAACAAATAGTCTTTGTATTTCAAGAACTAATCCTCTGACAAAAAAAAAAATCTGCCAAATAAAGGATATCAAATCCATTGGGACTTAATACTGCATATACTAGACCATTTTCTAGTAACACATAAAGAGAATACAGTAATCAAAGCCGGTGGGAGAGGATAAAAAAGGTGCTATATGTTTCCTAGGAGAAAAAGGACAGTAGGGAATTCTACCTACAAACAGATAAATCTACACTCAGAGAAGGCATTCAGAAGTAGTTCAATAAACCTAGTTTGCTCTTATAGTTTTTTTTCAAACAAACGAACAAATCCAGAAATTAGTCTGATCTGGCAAAAATACTGAGTTTTGTAGTTGGGTTTTGGCATTTTCTTAAATTGTTTTAAAAATTTACATTAGTCAGGTTTTCAAAAGTTACAGCTTTCAAATACAACTTGAGATTGCAACAGGAACCCCATACAGAGGCATTACATGGATACAAGAAATACTTACACATTGCCAGGACAGAAAGACAAAGTGGAGTTTTTACACTACCTGCTTGGCACTGCGCTCAAAGACAACATATTGTTGGCACTGATCTAATCTTCGCTTCTTCAGGGTCCAGAAGTGAAGGACCCGGTTCTCCCTCTGCAGCAGCTCACTCAGAATGGCTGTAGGGCAAAGGAAAACGTCTGCATGACCAGTGACTCAATGAGTGTATACAGAAATAAGCCATAAAAACTGAATTTACTTGCTCTGCCTGGACCACATTCCCAAGAGCAGAGCCCCTGAGATTGTACTTCTTGAAAACAAGCATTGATTCAAAGGGGCTGTTTAAAAAAACAAAACAAAACAAAAACCACCACAAAACAAAAACCCTTACACAATACAAAAAAAGTGCAGTTACACGGTTATCTGGTAAAGGAGAAGATGCTAGAACAGAGTTTGGGATTTACTCCAGTAAATATACCAGGATACATGATTTCTAGTCCTCTCATTCTCTTCTGTTGCTTATTTCAGGAGTCTGGTACTGGTTGACATAGGAGAAGTTACTCTTTTACTGCCTTGTCTGTTGCTCTGGCCACACACTACCCAGCACTTGGCACCAAAGCCTACTGTCCCATGCAGAGCTCTGGTCATGATTGAACGTAATTCAGACCTGAGCCCCCAGCTTTACATACCTGGTAAGGTTTCTTACACAGTTGTGCTGCCTGGCAGCCCTCTGTGTGCTCCCTGTGCAGTTACTCCTGGGCTACGATTTGGGGTTGAGGTCTGGTACTGCTCCTTTAAACGGTTTTCTATGTGATGGGGATGTTGAAGACACACAGATTCAAGAGACTGGCAGGAGACTTGCTACTCCTTGGAGTCTAGGACAAATGCGTTCTCCTTCAAAACTCAAGTGCTCAGCCAGACCATATCAATGTGATAAAAACGTGTGATTTAACTCTTTAAAAACTACCATGGGTTTAACTGAAAATTTCCACGCAGAGAGAGTACAAGAGATTGATGCTAACACAAACCTTAGTTAACCTGAGTTTTTCTAATTAAGCTGAGCTAAGTCATGCGTAGCTGGCAGCAGCATGGCTCATCCCAGCCATGTCTGGGTATGGAGTCCAGGTAGCTACCTCGGCAATAAGGCCTGGCGCCCTCCTGCCCTATCCTCACAGTGGAGCATCCACTAGAGAGGACTTAGGCACAGGCAGCCTAGGCAGCAGCAGCTACGCTCTTTTGTATTGAAACATTGAGTCTGGCTTCTCAGCCACTTACAGTGACTTAGGATCATTTACAGCTCCTGTTGATAACCTGTCTCACCCTAAGCCCTTTCTGAATGTACTGATACTCATCGCTTATGTTTCAACACTGGTGGCAGGAAACAGAATTGGATGTATTCATCCCCATTGACAAGCGCGACACCGATTATGGTCAAAAAATTTGTAATCCTAATCTGGTCCCTGCTGAGGACAACGGGAACTTAGTCTGAATGACCAAATGAACTTGAAGTTTGTCATGGGTGCTCTAGATCAGGTCTCTGCAGAAACAGTTTATGCCAAATAAAACTAATTTTGTTCTTTATTAATGACTTTAATTTGGAAGTACAATAAGCATCCCACTAAACGATGCTTTTATTCTGAACTAAAGTGTTCACTTCAAAGATGTTCTGTAGATAGACTCGTGAAGCATAAGAATACACATTTAGCTTACAAAAAGTCTGATATACAAGCTGATTTTTATATAAGTGAGTCATTTCAAACAAGCTCAGTGAGGAACATTTACAAGCTTATATCAGGTGCATATTCAAGGGCTTGCTGAGTCAGGGCTTAATTAATTTTCCCGTGATTTTTCAACAGTAGGGAACAAAAGTCCACAACAACAACAAGCATTTGACACAGTAGAGGGGGAAGTTGAACAAACTCCTAATAACATTGAAGAACTGGTATTGAAAGAAAGGAAGGAAAATAATCTCTTCAGCAGCAACATTTTCATCTTCTGTGTTTAACCAAAGTTCCCATCCCTCCCACATATACAATGACTGCACTGCTTTTAACCTGTCTCTTTCTGCAGCTTGTAGGAAAGCCAATAATAACGACAAAAAATGGTTTAGTTCTGCAGAATCACTTTGCTCAGTCTTATCAGTACTTTTGAGCAATGCTAGGCATAGATTAATAATTGTTTAATTAAGCAGAGGAGTGGCAACATTTCAAACATCTCAGATGTATCATCTGCTTGTAAGCAGCGTTCTTTTGACCAAAAGAAAGTTAACTACAGGCAGATACTTTTGCTAGTGATTTTCTGATGTGGTAGGACATCAAATAGGATTCCAGAGACAAAAAAATAGCAGATCCATCCTAGGAACAAACAAGTTTGGAGTTCATACTTTCCCAGTGCTCAGTAGCAACAGGATGCATCTAGACATTGTATTTGATATGCGCTTATTTGTTAATGCATTTTATAGATATCAAGGCAAAATACTGTCTGACATCTCAGCTGACAACCTACGTGATAGAGGATGGCATAGTGTCACTCCCACGGACTCTCCTGACAAGAGAAGCCAGAGAGGGCCCATGTTTCAAACCCTTTTCCTTTTTTCCTCCACCACTGCTTGCAACAGCAGAGATTGGTGTAGGAACGCATGCCTAGCAGAGGAAGGATCACCTTCTGAGAGGCCTCACTGCTACTGCTAAAGGCGTCTGGCATATGTATCATTTTAGTAACAGCAGATGGCAAAACTTAAGGTGCCTTCTCAGCATGTCCACAAACTTTATGATGACCACACCAGCAGAGGGGGAAGCAAACAAAACTTTCAATGCTGTCATTGCACGAGAGCACCAACCTTTCACTTGCTGCTCGGGCCCCCGGGTATGGCTTGCTACTCCAGGCATGCTGACGTTGTTCCTGTGGATGTACTTGAGGAATACCTCAGCGTTCCTTCGTGCCAGCGTGCAGGCCTAAGAAAAACAGCCCCCATGAAAAAGAATTAGTAAAGATGAGCAAAGAAAGCAAAGGGGACCCAGGGGAGTTCTCTGCTTATTTTGCAGGCAGAAGGTCTGTTTCATATGGGAACATGAGACCTTCAGCTAAGAGTCAATAAACTCAGCAAATTAACAGCCTCATAAATGTATTAAAACACATGAGTAATTTTGAATATAGTGGCTGATTTTATATATTAAGGTAAATTAATTACAATAATAAAACGACTGTTTGGAAAGAGCTAGTACATCACATATTTTCACTCTAAGCAAAGCTAACCCATCTCTCAAGAATATTACTCATTGTTTCAAAAAATGTACAATCTAGAGGCATAATTTCATAAACCTTGCCTGTAAGGGTAGTTTCATGTTGTACATCAGTTTTTGAGGAAGGTGGGAGGCTGGCTAGCAATTGACTTGTCAGCCTATCAGCTCCACAGTTCTTACAAAGCAGCACCTGGAAGGCAGGAGGAAACCTGTCTCCATCCTGGTGCTGCCCTGCAGAGACACAGTTGCTTCAGTTGTTAGTAGTTTTTCAGTAATTGTCTTGGAGAACAAAATTTGAAATGCTGGATGGTTTGTATAAGCCAAAATGTTGTATAATACCTGTCATTTATAGTGCTTATCATATGCAATTTTGACAATTTGAACTTTGAACCAGCTCAACTAACATCCAAGTGCAATGCAGATACCACCTAATTAGCCCTGATGACATCTCTCCAAGATATGCATTGATGATAATGCTTATTACCCCTAGTATAACAGCGTGAAACTGGCCTGGGGCTTATACACCCAGCCAGTAGCTCAACTGGAATTACACCTTAGAGGATCCTCCCAAACTCACCAACACTGCTCTAAAGTGACTACTTCATGGAGAGTTTTCCTGATTTATTAGAGAACTAAAGTAAGACCTTGAGAAAAGCTTCCTTCTGTTCTAGATGTTTGCTGATCAGAGGGATGACATGGTCTATCTCCGCTGCTGGTCCAAGTTTATCTCGACCTCCGCACCAGTCTTCATCCCGTCTGTATTCTTGCTCCAAGCTCTCCAATACGCTGCACACCTGAAACACGTCCACAGCACAACAATTCAGTTATCTACAATCATAATCAGGAGGAATATATTCAGTAAAACTCTATCACCAATAACATTTCAAATCTAAATGTTTGGTCATTGGCATATATAGGTCATGGCATAGAGGATAAGTGGATATGAAACAGGCCCTGGACACAATGATCTAGTAGTTCTTCTTACCCATAGGGATCTCTACTGTTTGGGATGCAATTCATCTGGTTTAAGGTTGATAAATCCTTCTTCTCTTCCAATGGATATTCAGGGGGAAGCTCAAAAGGTTGAATCAGGGCAGGGGTCAGTGTTGGCCCCAGCGAATCATTCAGGAAACAATCCTATTCTGGAAGGGTGCTTTAGATGTGTCTAAATCCCACTGAAGTCAAGTGACTTAGCACATACTTAAAGAAAAATGCATGCTTAAATACTTTCCTGAAACAAAGTCTGAAGCTGGAACTAATTCTCTTCAGCTGCATGTTAGTTGCTTCCTATACAGCTTTGGTAAAGACTGATGGAAACCAATAGACATTAAATCAGTGTCACAGCCTAGGTGGATGCAGGTGTTCCACTGTTTAGGACTTGCACAAGTGTCTTCTATCTTGGTAGAACAATGGGAATGAGGTAAATAAACCAGTACAGTCTGGAAACTGTGTATGCAGTGGCCTCGGACAAGGCTGAGTCTTTTGCTTTGCAGATCCTGAGAATGACTCTTGGTGGCTGGTGCAGATACGAAAAAAACTGCAAAAGGTTTCAGGACCATTTGGAACTTTCCTCTTGTCTCCCAGAGGGCTCTTCCTACATGCTCCACTGCTGAGATTACTCAAGATCCAGTCAGTTATTGCTGGGCGTCCAGCTAACCATGTTCACTCTTTTCTCACTCACTCCTGCAACTTTTATGTGAACACAGTTACAATTCAGAGGACCGTACATGCTGAAAAGCATAGTCTGGAAGAGACTCCAGCATCACCCACCAATCCTCCGCACCGTCGCAGGCCATTTTCACATAACTCCATTCCTGAACACATCAAACTCAATTTAAAAACTGATGAACTGAGGTGAACTGAACAACTTACCCTGCTGCCAGGCTGTTCAAGGACCTTAAGCATTTGACAATCTGAAATCATCTTCTTGCTTGGATGCAAACCAGCATTCACCCTCAAACATTTATCGGAGAGCAAGTGCCCCATGTGTCATTCAGGCACAGAAAAACATTTCCGTTTTACTTCTCAGTTCTTGAAAACTTTGGTACTCTACTGGACTTTGGCAACTTGAAAAATGAAAGTAGATGGACTGCCTGGGGTCCACATCTTTTTAGAAATGATGGTCTCTGCACATGCAAAAATCATCTCTCAAGATGATGAGAGAAATTAATATAAAGGGGGCTTATGAGCATTCAAATCAACATAAAGTGAGTTTATGAGCATTCAAAGACTGAATGATCTTTGCCCTAAACATCTGCTGAATAGACACAACTAGTGAATGAACTGGTGGGCACTGCAATATGCTTGTCTATGACTTGGAAAGAGGAAGAGAGACCGAATTGATAAATTACTGGCTATGCATATTTTGACCAGCACATTTGACTGTCTAAAGCACTAATGAATCCCTTAATGGTTTTAATTTCTCACAATCCTCCACTAGCAGTAAACCATTTCAATCTTGAATGCAGCAGGGACTGTATATGTCTTTGACATTTATTATAAGGAATGAATTCATCTTAAACAATCTTAAAAGTGCATTAAACAAACAACATCAAAAAGGGCCCCAAAGATGGTCGACAGCCTCAATGCTAAGGAAAAAAACAATCTCTTTCTATAATGATATGTTTAGTTGTGCGAAAAAACTTCCCATGTCTGGTTCTCTAATTGAGGAACTAACTGTGTGATACAATAGAAAATTTAATGGATATCACTGCTGCCTTTTGTATAAAACCACAAGTTCCCGCAATGTCCATGCTAACACAACTGCCTGGCTGCAGTAAATTACACCAGGCAAGGCCATTCAGGCATCCACACTATGACACTCATCCTCACTGACTACAGCATGAATGGCGCCTGTTTGTGCAAGGGATGAATAATCCCACCGTACCAGCGGCCCACTGGAATGTGTTTTGCAATTCATGGACACCTGGAATGAAGTAAAGTTGTGTCAACGTATAATGGTTACTGCTGTAATTATCTGTGTTGCTGATGGATTTAAGAGAAATCCCTTCATATCTTGGCATCTTTTTCAGCATAGTGGTGTTTAACTACTAGTAAAAACACTGGCTAGTGTTGCTCACAAAGTAACAAGTAATTAATTGCAAGTAGTTCTCAAGGAAAAGCAGATTTATATTCCTCAAAACTAACTCTGATATCATGAGAACTTGAACCAAAAGTGGTGGGATTTCAGAAATTCTTCCTGTTGGAAAGGGGACAATTAAAAAAACTCCAAACATCAAGAATTACATTGCTTTACTGAAATCTTTAAGATGAAAGTTATTGCAAACGCTGCCTTTTTTTGGTTTTGTGGGTTTTTGGTTTTTTTTTTGGGGGGGAGGGGGGTGTTGTGGTTTTGTTTGGGTTTTTTTTGCAATACTTGTCAAAGTAACAATTTTGACCAGTTCAAACCTCGTGTGGCTTAGCATTGCTATGCCAATGGAGCAAATGTCTTTTCAGTTAATTTTGCCAATGCTGTGAGACTCCTTGCTGGCAGAAGACCCTCAGGGTCAGAGTAGAAAATCCACACCTACCAGCACTGCTACATCATGGAGTGCACTCACACTGGTGTCTACCAGCTAGGAGTCACCCAAGAGCTCAACGCTGGCCCTATTCCAGTGACAGAAAGGTTTATATGCACCTAATGTGTGGATGAAGACGTGCAAATACATGTATAAAGAAAAAAGGCACATTTTAAGGGCAAGCAGGGCTGACTGAAGTCTCACTCTTCCTACTTTTGGGGTTACTCAAGGAAAAGTGAGAAGAACGAGCACTGCTCCTTAGTGGTATTAGCAGAGCAGGTATTTGGAACAGTCCAACACTGTGGGAGCCTGCACCGCTGATCTTGGTGAGAGGCAAGACCTTTGCACTATATACTGGGAGCTAAATCCCAGGCTGTAGCCATATGTTATGGCACAGATATGACACTGTTCAGCTCACCTGCTCAGAGGTTTTATAGAAGGCCACTGAGGCATTGACAAGTTTGAGCCTGTCCTCCATCTTCAGCATCAGCTGCTGCCAGTGCAGGGCCACCTTCTCGGCACACTCTCTGATAGCATCAGCATCGTAATGCCCCGCCTGTAGCAATACTTCGGCTTTCTGCTGGACCTGCAGGGCACTCTGGTGTGTCTTCTGTAAGGAAGTGGCATGAAAGAGGGACTGTGTATGAGGGGAGGAAAGAGAGGTTGTATAGATGTGCCAGACATATGGTAGAAAGGTGAAGTGAGGTGTGAGCATGGAGATGTGAGAGAACGAAACATTTTCAGAGTTATCTTCAGTTAACAGTTACATTCTGCAAAGCATTTTAGTTTCAATTATTCACACACATTTGCAACATGTTATTAAAGCTTGAGACAAGCAAGCACTGGCTGCGATGGGTTAGCTCCACTGATCAGCTACTGCCACTTGGGCAACAACCCGGGGTGGGGTTCCCAGTGGATCCATTTTGACAACCCCAATGCAGGCAGCTGTTGTGCTGAGCTCCCACCCAGCCTGTACTCAGAGCTGACTGCATCCCCGACAACGTGCAGATACAAAAGCATAAACCAAAGAGCTAGCAAACTATGGGCCTAATCCCTCTCATTTGACTCATGCCAGGCACTTTGCTGGCATCAGCAGCTTTACTCATGTGTGTAGTTGTCCTGTCTGCAGGATGCAAAACATCATCCCCAGAAAACAGGAAGATGCCTTACTAAATGGCATGAACTATATCACAAATATCAGCCCCTACGAGATACATTTCTGAAAGTCAGTTCACTTATACTGGAGCTACACTATGCTACCTTTAAGGGCAGAGCCGGGGGGAGTTAAGCCATTTTCCCCACCGTTCCTCA